TTTTTTTTGGACAAAAAGAAGAGTCTAATTTGGGATACCTGCCATTTTTGTGATATTTTGAGAGTCACTGCAGAACAAGAAATTTAATGCAAAATTACACATAGTTTGGCGTTTGACAAAGAACACAACTTAAAACATCACTGGCTCTGTAATTACCTCGTATTCCTCGCAATAAAGTGAATTTTTCTTGGGGGTTACTTATTTCCATTTCCCATCTTGCTTGTATGAAGCAAGACCTTTGCCTCATACATACTGTACACTGCAGTTCTTGACACACTCTGTGCAAATGGAGTCAAGAGTGGACTCTGATGTAACTCTCCTCAGATAGGCCAATCAGCAACCTCGGCAGCTCCTGGTGATTTGTGGTACTGTGTTTGGAATTCTCAAGTCCCGTAACTATTTCAAGCTTGGAATGCACTCAGAATATAAGTAGCAGTCCCTTTGAGGCCCCATCTTTTCACCGTAAGTGCGGTGACTACAGCCACTCCAATGGCGCCCCCAATGAACAATCGCCGCTTCCATTTTCCAACCTCTTCACCGTACCAATGAGTTTTCCTCTGGTTGTCGAGACATCAGTAACAAATCAGTAACCAATCCGCTTGGCGGTGAGGTTCAAGACGTCTTAGGACCTCGTCCACTGCCCGCATCCCGGACTGCACTGCGCCATTTATGAAACCCGTGTGGTGTGTGGCTGTTTCTGTTCCAGCCCAATGCACCCTGGAAAAGGAAGGGGCGGGGGAAGACAGCCTTTTATAGGAGCAACATGGATTCGGAAGACTCAGATATTCATCCTCAGAACTGGTAGTTCAAGGGATAAATATGTTGCATCATGGTGCAGTTTCAATCAGAGCAACACTAAGCTACCATCAAGCCCTAGACCCTTTTCCGGGTCTAAATTTATGCTGAACTTTGTAGGACACCAAACTGAACTACCGTAAAACAGTAAGCTTAGCTACTGACTCGGTATTTTATGCTATGCACCATACCAGCACTGCCTTCCCTACAGTCAGATATGTCTAGTCCCAGTTAAGCAATAAAGTGCCTACTCGTGTATCACATTGAGTTGACCCCCTACTATGTCAGGGGTCATACGGACAACAATACAAAGGGCAATTTCAAGACCCTAAGTCCATGTGGGAAATATAGGAGCTGTGTTCAGTGTTAAGTCAGCAACCTGAAAAATGGAGTCCTGAGCCCACTGTGAAAGGTCATTGCTCCTGGTGTCATAATATTGACAGGGCAGCCACCATTGTCAGACTCCAGTGCCCAGTCCTGGAAAAAGAGAACAATCAAACAGTTGGATTTATTCACTTGCGTTTTTTTTTCCACTAATGAAACTACGGGTTTCTGAAAGTGCAGGCACCAACTTGGAAGCCAAGCGAAACCTGCAATATGGCACATGTATGTGGGTTCTACAAGGGGTTGGGAAGACATGGGGGAGGCAATCATATTGCTGATTGCTCGCAAACAACCACAATGTATACTGACCTTTTCACAGTAGTCCAGTGGGTCTCTTGCCTTTGGCCCAAGGAACTCGGCTAAGGAGTCCAAAACAGCTTGCTTTCTGGTTGGGGCTGTTTTTGAGGAAGAAAAAAAATGCTTCCATTTACCTTTGGCAGAAACAAGGAGTAAAGAGGACTTTAAGGGTCACTGATCAAATGGTTTCCAAAAATAAGAGAAATTCTCTTTTTTTTCTCCACGAAGAAGAAATGCAACTTACTTCAATGTGACTCCACTCTCTACTGTTGGCATAGAATCCAACAATGGCAGGGTTGCCGTTGGATGTCGTGCAATCGTAGGTGAGTTGGAGAGGGCCTGAGCTGAGACCTTCAATAGTTGGTTTACTCCCATTGCTGACAATTTCACCAGAAAAACCATCCTCCCTCCAAAAAGCCTACAAAGGAAACTGAGACTGTATGGCCTGGATTTTCTCAGTAATTACTAACCTGAGCTACATTACTATGGTTGCCGAGATCGATGTACATATTAAAACAAGCAAGCAGAGGTGAAAGACGAGATGTAAGCTAACAGGTACTGTCTTTCTAACAGACAACGAATCAACATGTCATCTTTAAACTACAGTTCACAAATGAAGATGTCTTTATGGAATGACATGCTCACAGTTACTTAATTAACATGGTATCGCTTTCAATGGTAGAATATTTGAAAATTAATTACTGTCAAAGATTCAGAAGACCAGGGGTGCGTTCTATGGCACAATAAGTATGCAAGTACATGTATTGGCATACCCTGTATACTTTATTGTTTATGATATGCATATGCATGCAAAGTATTGTGTAATTGAATGTGCTCCCCTCCCCCGGAAGAGAGATAATTTATTTATTCACCGTTTGATATGTGACAATGAACTTGATGATATGTCCCATCGGAGACAGCTGTGCCAGATTGATCCTGCTGAATGGCTTGGCAGGGGTGTAGTTGATGACAACTAGAACAAAATAAACTACAAATGTACAGGCTGGTTTATACTCCCCTTTAAGGAAATGCAAATTCTGAATTTGACATTTCAGAGCAGCGTCTGCTCTGCAAATACGTTTAACCCATTCCAACTTTGATGAAAAAATACAATTATTTTGCTAGTCATATTCACCTTCATGCCAAGCGTGACCTGATTTTAACAACTTTGTGCTTTGAAAAAGAACAAATTGGAGCAGGCATTTTTCTCACCAACTCTAATTTCAAGAGTTTAGGTTAGCATAATGTATTCAGGCACTGTAGCCCACCCGTACGGACTTGTGTCAGCGATACAAATCAGTTTCTGCCTATTGTCCAGTAGCTTCTCGGCTTTCTTCAGAGTAGCCTTCACTCCAGACTCTTCTTGAACGTCTTCTAGGGCAGAGGCGATCAAATCCTTGATCTCTCTACATGAGGAAAGACAACCAAATAAACAATCCAACATTAACCTTAGATTCCCATTTGTTATTTTTAGGATGTTGTCCCAGTGCCGGGACTGACGTGAATGACACACCCGTGGATCACACCACTCACCCAGCTACACCCTTACGTAACACCTAACAATACCCATAGAAATCCATGCACCGTGAAGAAAATAAATACGTTCTAATTCACACCTGGTCGTTCAAACGAACATATTTGAATTTCTTCCCTAACCAGTTTTCTATGAAAACTCGGACATCTAATACAAAATCACAACTTGAACACACTTCATGGGTTCTGACAGTGTATTTGGGCGCCGGTGGGACCTCCCACCGGCCCAACAATGGAACTTAAGTGAAGGTTAAAGAAGATGTGGTGTTAAAACTGGACAAATAAACTATTTTCAACTATTTTGATACCATGTGAGTAGGCCTAAAAATAACAGAACCAACGAGGAAGACTTAGCTGACACTTGCTGATTAAACTGGTACTGCTGCTGATTTCCTTCCCTCCGCCACTTTGTCTTTGTGGTGTCTTTCATCTTCTCGGCCAGAGACTGCCTTGCTTTACAAACTCAGACCTCGTTTTGCTCAATTTTTCGTCAAAGCTAGATGCAAAAACTGCTAATAACTCTTGTAAATCAGCTTTGGTTGCAGGGGCTGCTGCCGAGGAGCCTTGAGCCGCATCGCACTGTATCATATTGACAGAAGGTGCATTATACGCTGAGCCAAAGACTGATTTTTTAGGATGTTGTCCCGGTGCCGCGACTGACCATGAATGACACACCCGTGGATCACAACATTCACCCAGCTACACCCTTACATAACACCTAACCATACCCATAGAAATCCATGCACCGTGAAGGAAATAAATATGTTCTAATTCACACCTGGTCGTTCAAACGAATATATTTNTTGTATATTTCAAAGTCTGTTTCATTAATTTTTCTTACTTTGTTCAAAGCACTAAAACTACGGAGGTTTTTGATGTCTAAAGGAGAAGAATACAATCATTCAATTCTGAAGCAAGAATTGAATTTCAGGGCATGGTTGCAGATGGGGGGGTGGACTGCAGCGGGCGGGGGGATAGTGAAAAGTCAATGTGGGTTGCCTTGAAGGAGTGAAGATTGAAGAACAGTGGGGAATATGTGTGAGTAGGAGGAGGCTGCGAAGTAGGCAACTGATGATATCCCCCAAGGAGTGATGTGGACATAAGAATGGGAGGAGAGGTGCGAGGAAGTATGCAGGGAAGGCAGTGCAGGGCAGAAAGGGATGAGGACTGGAGAAGTGAGGACAGTCCATCTAGCTGTCATTGTAGAGGAGTGCGGGGTCAGGTATTTGACAGGGCAGGGAGTGCAGTGTCGATAGAGGTCACAGGGGCCTGGATGGTGGGAAGTGGGATTGTGGTGGAGGAGTGTGAGGTTGGGTGTTGGGACTGGTGCAGTGTGGATAGGGGTGGGGCCCTGCCGATGGGAAGTGGGGTTGTGGTGGAGGAGTGCAAGGTATAATGTAAGGTGTAGGGACAGTCTGGGGGAGTACAGTGTGGATATGTATAGGGGGATGGGGCAGCAAGTGGTGCCTGTAAGGGGGGATGCCAGGTAGGGTGTAGGGCAGGGAGTGCAGTGTTGCATAATATAGGATTGGAGCTAGGAGGGTGGGAAGTAGGGGTACAGAGGAGGTGGGGGGCCTTAAGGGAAAGACAGATAAGCATGCAATACTTTTATCCTGAAGCTGTTGTTGGAATCACCTTCTGCTTCTATCAGATTCTTTATGCCCCCAGCACTGCTAACGTAATGCATAAAGTACATGACTGACATCATACGTGGTGAGGCACCATTGATAAGAGCTGTGGAGAACACTGACTAATACTTTACTGACTAGTACTTTAAGTGAATAATCTCCTGACAACTCACTGTATGACAAGGAAGCTGAGATGTCTATTTGAAGTGTTAAGTCTGAGAATGGATGAACTTTCACGATAGTTACTGTAATTCACCTCTTCCTTTATAAGAAAAAAAAAGCATGAAACTGTGGCCAAAAATTCTAGCCCTCTGAAATAAACGATTAATCAGTGAATGTTTACCTTCCAACCCACTGGCCACCTAGGTCCCAGACATCCTTCCCATAAGCTCCTTCCAGCTCAGTTGTGAGTGTTCAACCTCCTACACGGTCTGGAATAGCACCGATTAAACAGAAGAGCACTATGATGAATCATACGTTAGCTTCAGCTGGGGCTAATTTCATAGAGCTGCTTAAGCCAAAAATTTTTTAATCATGAAAAACCTTGCTTGACAAATCAGGTTACCAGCCAAAACTTCTTATGATGTATATTGTTTTGGAATGTATTTACCTGTCTTTTGGTTAGCAAGGATTTTTTATGCTTAACCCCTTCGCGCCGGTAGACGGTAAGAGCCGCTGTAAAAATTGAGATCCCCAACCTGCTTTTCAGCTATTATTCTCGGCCCATGCTCGAGCAAACACGGTGAAAGGAGGCAGACCCTGGCTCTTGTATATATGGTGATTGGCCTTTGTATGTAGCCCAGAAATGAAAAGACCAAATTTGCATCATAATCACCAGCCTCACTATAGTCCCCACTTTGAAAAGAGGCAACGGGAATGTGGAAGCGTGAGTAGAGCCGCATGCCACCCAACAATGAGCCTTTTCACTGTGTAATTCAAAGCATGCAGAGCACGCAGGGCCACAAACTGAGAATTTGCAGTTTGGCACGTCGCCTTTGTGGCAAGCGAGGCTGGAATTCTTGGAGTCGGATTTCGGAAAATAATTCCCGTTGTCAAGGGTTTAAGCAAATTCTGTGCTTAAGCAGCTCGGTCAATCGGTGAATCCAGCAATTTTTAAATTGGGTGGATATTAATTTATATTGGTGATGCATGCATTTATGAACCGTACTCAAGGTGTTACCCAAGGGCTTGTGATAAAATTGAAGAAGTGACTCAGATCAGACTCCCACCCACAACCTCCTGCTTACTGATGCAGGTGTCTAAACACTCAACTGCCAAGCTTACCAGGGTCTGCTGGCCCATCTTTGTTGCAGTGTCTCTTGGGAGTTGGAGCTAACACACGTTAACACACTCTAATTTTCATCTGAGAGTGTACAAAACTGTACGGTCTTTGCATGCACACAATGCACAGGGCACTTATCTGCCTGTGTGACCTTTCTTTTTTTCACTAGCAAGGAGGACTTACATGTATGCAAGCAGCCCAAAGAGCAATAATACTGCCATTACATTGAGGCCACCATGCATTTCAGTGCACATGGACCCAATCTAATAGCACACCTGCATGTAAGCCTAAATTAAACCTACCAATAAAAATGCAGCACTGTTACTCTGTATGATGTCAGGCATTCCCAGAAGTGGCTGAGAAAGAGATTGAACAAAAGATTTAATACAAACCTTTAGCCTCTACAACCAGAACTTTGCACCCTGGCTTTTGTTGCTGGAGTCGGTAGGCAGCAGTCAGGCCAGCAATACCAGCCCCTACGATGATGAAGTCCCACTCTGGTGGTAATGTCGAAA